GCTTTTAGGACCGTACCATACAATGTCAATTATTACAATCATCTATAGAAGAAAACGTCATATGAAATTACTTTATCATTCTGTGAGCGTTGCTACAGGCTAAAGAAAATAATTGGACGAATATACAACTCTTTTCATCAATAAAACCACGCTTCATTCATTTGCTATCTTCTATCATAAAAGACCAGTCCGTTCTTAACCAAACTTAAACAAAGATATTTCATGAACATTGTGTACCCCATAAAAATATTTGCTGATTATTACAAGCCGTCAGAAGGCTGTCATAACGGACACATCCACGAGGCCTAGACAGCGTTAAAACAACTCTATGTTTACACACATAATATAGTACATAATAGGTAACCCATGACGAATCCGTCTCGACTTGCATTTACTACGCGTTAGCAATACTAAGATATCTTAAAAATATAAACGTGGAATTACACTGCATTTACATTTATATTAATTCATATAGTTATCCCTTACATGTTCATTGACAAAATAGAGACCACAATATGCAAGTTGTCATATTTTATGGTTATACATGGCGCTATAAAATGCAATTAAACAAGTTCTAATTCATATTTATCACAATAAGGTAGAATTATGTAATCTAAGACGACAATGATTCTTTGACTGGAAAAAAGGTTTTGTGGTTTCTCGTACTAAATATAAGGGAGACGCCTATTGATCAATTAACAACTCTGAGTGATGTGCTTATTAGTCATTTGTTTTTGTTTAAGAAGTAAGGGGAAAAGTCCTCTAGTAGGAACATTGTACTGACAAAATTACACTCAACCAGATCAAGGTAAAGACGAAATACATGTACTCGTTACAAATATTATTTACAACTTGTTGCTTTAGAGTTTATTTCAAATAATAAATCATCGTCTTTGATACCTATGGAAACATTCTGTATAGCTATTTTTATAGTAAATTCACCTCAAAAATATGAATATTAATAGCTCCAAAATACGTGTAAGTTTAAATGAATATTGATTATTTTAAAAAAGCATTCTAGAATTAGTATTGTTGCATCATCAAAATCATTCACAATCTGTAACAAAGTCTATATTCTACATGGTTACAATGCAATAAATATATTTATAAATAAATATGCTTCACTAATAATATTGTTTCAGGTGGAATTTATTACATCATTTCGAGATCTTTGGGGCCAGAATTCGGCGCGTCTGTTGGTATTATCTTTGCATTCGCAAACGCAGTCGCGGCCAGTATGAACACAATTGGTTTCTGCGACTCCATGAACGATTTACTGTCGACCCAGGGTCTAAAGATCATCGACAATGGGCCCAATGACGTCCGCATCGTGGGTACAATCGCATTGATACTGATGTGCATTATTTGTGCTGTCGGAATGGATTGGGAGAGCAAAGCACAGGTTATTAATTATACTTAATTTATCCGTAAATAGTATAACGACACTATTGTCATCTCTATCAATATCATTGAAAGAATAGAGATAGTGTGAAACTTCACCTAAAGAAAGTAATTACTAAAGATACCAAATATGAGCGCTGGAAATTTCCATTCGCAAAACAAAGTATACGCCAAATTACAAGGACACGATGGAAGATTGATCGTAATATCGCTTCATTGCCAGAGCGTGTCCCCGACGTAAAAGCTTCGCGTTTAATTGAATCCCTAAATTACTTTTAATTCCGTGCAAATTAAATGTGTGCGCCTTGCCTAATGTACAGACGAGGACTTTTATTTCCTACCCATTGGAGAAATTTGACGCTCACTATATTTTTAAGGCGAAAGCTAACAGCAACATTCATAACATAGCTCTTATGGTGTTGTTTTTGATCTTAGTGGTAAGCGAATTTAATTCTTTGATTACGTGTACCGTTTCGCGACGATTAGGGCAATTATTTCGTTAAGATCATGAGTATTGATCGTGCTAGTATTTAACCGAACGAATTGTAAACTGGTTCTATTGAGCATTGGTCTTGTTATAGAAATAGCGGTGTTGCAAATGGCGACCGCTTTACAAACGCCTATCAATAAGTTTATGCCTTGCTCGTGCAAAAATAGGCGGTGTATTTACACGGTTTCATTGCAGTTTGTTTTAAGTATAATGGGTCACAATCCTATGCAACAAATAACTATAGTTTTACAGCGATATAAAGACTAAGAAGAAGTTTTGGCAACTAAATGAATATCATTTTCACATTATAAAGCTTTTACTACTATCAAGAATATTCGTGAAATCTTTTTCGTAACGACATCGAAAAAAATGTATTACGCCTACCAGGTGTAAAGTACATCGACGAATCTCAAGCAAATTTTATCGAAGACATTACCAATATGTTCTTGCAACTATCACGCAAATATTCGTGATAGATCTTCTGCTCTTTAAAGCCCTATGAGATGGTTTCTTCTAATCATCCGGATTTACTTCTATAAGTCGTGATTACTCCCATTGTCTGTGGTCTTATTTCTCTTTTCTTTTGCAGAATTTTCTGATCGCGATAATCATTGTTGCAATGGTTGACTTTATGGTAGGAACATTTATGGGACCGAAAGATGTTGAAGAAATTTCTAAAGGATTTGTTGGATTGAGTGGTAAGTTTAAATTTTATAATGTAAGCTACTTATTTACGTATCTCTGAGATCTTTCCATTAGAGTTGAAATAATTTAAACATATTAATAACCTATGTTTATGACTGAGAAGCGTTGATCATTTACTATTCCTTTCTGCGTTTAAATATGGCTACAAGTTATTAAATTAGTGAAATTATTCACAGCAACGGTATTCGATTCGAACTTGGGCGCGGACTTCCGCTACAGCGAGAACTTGGAGCAGAACTTCTTTACGGTTTTCGCCATCTTCTTCCCCTCGGTAACTGGGATTCAAGCGGGAGCTAACATCTCCGGAGATCTTAAGGTAAGTCTAATATTAAGAGCGCACGCACATCTTTGACTAAACTATCGCACAACTTTTTAGTCTCGCTTTGATTTTATATGGAGGAACACTACTCGATTTTCAGTTGTGTGTTCAGTTGATTTAGCTGCGAAACAATCGACGATCGCACAACGCTTGTGCGATAGTTTAGTCAAAGGTGTGCACCCACTCTAAGGCTGGCAAAACATAATAATTATCAGAAGTTGTATCGTGTTGCGGACTAAATAAGTTAAATGGAAACGCTGGTAGGTCGCGACGTCACGACGCCTTAATTAACTGGTGGGCGACGCCTCGTTATTGTCCAACACTGTTCACTCGAATCACATTAGAGACAAATAGTTTGGTACCTGAACACTTTTCTTACTGTATGTAATCATTACAATTTAGCTATAAATTCAATGAACAGACCCGGATTACAATTCCTTAAAAACTTCAGCAAGCTTCGACAAAACAATATAACATGCGTTTGAAATTTTTGTTGTATAAAAATGTGTGTGAACGATTTTTCCATTTTTGCTAAATAACAATAATAGTAAACTAGTTCGAAGTGTAGAAATGATCGTAACAGGAATGAGGTCAAGGGAAATTCATACGTGGAGTAGAAACTCGGACAAAATTGGACTGCTATATAACAAGAAAGTTTGTTCCAAAGCTTCAGTTTACCATGACTTGAACTTGTTTTAAAGACTAGTCCTTGTAGAACTAATAAAAAAACTATTTCATTCATTTTTTTTAATATTCTTTCATCAAACGACAATTGTATGAATAAAATTCACATGTATCAATGAATTTCTTAATTATTTCTGTAAATTCACATCCGTCATGGGTATTTAATTTTAATTTTTATCCACGTTTTTTACGAAAGTTGCCGGTCACTAGCCAGAAACAGTCTGCCGCGCCTAAGTTTGTTTCTCGTCAAATATTGCAGTCGATACAATGGTTTTTCGAATACAAGCGGGTCATCTGGGGTCAGTATCGCAAACACGTGGAGTGACATCGATCTGTGAAGGGCTTGTGGGAGGGGCAAGGGGGCAATGATGACGTGATACTTGTTGCACGACTATGGCACCTATAAAGAGGGGGACGAAACCAAGCTTTTTAAGAAAAAACTGTGCAGCACATAGAGAAGTTAATTGATCACTAAGGAAAATCTTAGTGTAATTTTCTCATTCCTAAGGGGACTTATTGATCAGGTCCGGCAGTAAGGTGAAAATAACATGAAAAATACTTTGACTGCAACCAAAGTGTATGAAATGAAATGGTACTTCACTGAAATAGAAATTTTATGGACTCGCGAAACATCTTAGCAATACAATCCGCAATAACACGAATATTTTCTTTCGGGCTTGAGACACAATTTCGCGTCCTCTATCCAAGTTAGAGTAGATTCTGGTATAAACAAAAGCCTACTGCAATAACACTAAAATTCGTTCTTTATTGCAATTGCTTTTTATGCAAATAGCAATTTTTTTTCGTATTAGAAACACGACAGTAATGATAAGTACGATCGGTGCCAATAAATTCAATTGCAAATTTGGGAACAATCACCAATGTGTCAATCATATTGACTTCTAAAATTTTAGAATTGTATTACTGGTTGCCTCGAACTATGATCTATTCCGTTTAGCTTATTACTAAATTTAAATTAAATTCTTCACGCTTTTAGATAAATATATTACTTGCATTTTATTTAAAAAAATCCATAGTAACATCGTTTAACATTCGTCACGATTGTTTCATATTTTGTTGGAGCAAAATTTCTTTGCAGCATGTTTTCTTCATATTGCTTGTTTACGAACATCTTTTGGGGCGGAACTAATGCGTTTGTTATTGTTTCTAGTGGCTGAACATGTCATACGACATATTCATGCAAGATAATTATTCATACGACAACAATGTTCACTTAACGATATGATAAATATCTTTTGACAAGAATTTTCACCTTATAAAAGGCAGAGAAAAGTGACTGAGTAAAATAGAAATGTTTGTATAAAGCCCAACTTCTTTTTACTCTAGGCGGAAGCGCTGGAATATCTACAGTTACTAATCAGGAAAATATTGAAATTCAGTCATATCTTTCCAAGAATGAAGATGATTCAATATGCAAACGAAATACGTACATCGTTTAACGTCAATCCATTCGTTCTCGAGAATGAAAATAAATGGATCATTGCCATTCACAGAATTGAACTGTTATTAAATGACACTCATCATTGTCATTCATCAATTATCTTCACATTCATTGAATATGATTTCGCGTGCCAGGCGCGTGCCATTCATTTGACGATATTTCATAGCTATTTCATAGTCACAGCTTTGATAGCTATCTTTAGATTCACTGAATTCTGTAACCCAAAATGTTGTGCTCTCTCTCTCCGGTCCATAATGAGAGCTAAAATTTGCTTATTTTAGTCATTGTCTTATAGGATCCGGCATCAGCTATTCCCAAGGGCACACTGTTAGCTCTGCTGATCTCCATGGTGAGCTACGCGCTAATGGTTCTGATCTCCGGTGGGGGCGCGCTGCGGGACGCCAGTGGCAACCTTACTGATGTCCTCTCACTCAACGGCACTGTTATCGACTTTAGCGCCGTCAGCGATTGCGTCAATACAACACTCGGATGCAAGTACGGCTTGCATAACAGCTACTCGGTAAATGTTCTTTTGATACCAAGAAGAAAGATGATAGAGTGTTACAACTGCACTTTTTAGTGATTGTTATTTTGGTAGGTGATGCAACTTATGTCAGCGTGGGGCCCGTTGATCTACGGCGGGTGCTGGGCGGCGACGCTGTCGACGGCGCTCACCAACCTGCTGTCGGTGCCGCGGCTGATCCAGGCGCTCGGCGTGGACCGCATCTACCCCGGACTTATCTTCTTCGCTAAGCCCTACGGCAAGCACGGCGAGCCCTACCGCGGATACGTCCTTACGTTCTTCGTCTCTCTTATCTTCCTTCTAATTGGTAAGGGTACATTGGTTAGAAATGCTTACCAGACTTTACGCCTGTTCTGTCTTTTTACTAAGTGAATTGTTTGCAGCTGACCTGAATACGATAGCGCCTTTAATCTCCAACTTCTATCTGGCTTCGTACGCACTCATCAACTTCTGCACGTTCCACGCGGCCCTCGTCAGACCTCTTGGTTGGCGACCCACATTCCGGGTATGTAAATATTTTGACTCTATTTGTATTAATAGATGTCCAAATACCATCTAAATGTCTTTACTTCTTTGTTTCTAGTACTACAACGTGTGGGTGTCTCTACTGGGCTTCCTGATGTGCGTGGCGATCATGCTGCTCATCAGCTGGGTCATGTCACTCGTCACCTTCGCTATCTTCTTCACTCTATACCTCATAGTCCATTACCGGAAACCAGGTGTGTTTAAGTTCCTCATACACGAGTGGTCATGTTAACACGTGTCTGCGCTTTAGTAGCATACGTTACGAACGTAAATAGTCTGTTGACTGAGAGCTAAATTCGTATCGGTCTCAATGAATTATTGCCTCATTTTCCCTTTAGTGCGTTAACGTACTCCGTTGCAAGTCGCCTAAATATAGACATCGTTGCTAGATTATTGATGTTTTATTTAGAAGAGCATAACTAGAAGGATACATAGCTATTACATATGTAGTATCACACTGTGTACGATTTCGGAGACGTACAGACTTACCTACCGCAAAATTTAAAGACATGAGAGCCTTTCAATGCACGATTCTAGAGCTGATCTTTATTCATCAACAACACGACAAATAAAGAAATAAGCGACCAATCCTCCATTAGCAAGACTCAACCGTAAGCGTCTGATGTTTGGATGATTTCATTTTCATTACAACTAATCCTGGTATCAGAGAGGTTGTATATCATTGTGTATTGTGTCAGACGTGAATTGGGGCAGCAGCACGCAGGCGCAGATGTACAAGACAGCGCTGGCGAGCGCGCACAGCCTGGCGCGCACTGGCGAGCATGTAAAGAACTACTGGCCGCAGCTGCTGGTGCTGGCGGGCCGGCCGCAGCACCGCCCCGCGCTCGTCGACCTCGCCCACCTGCTCACCAAGGCGGGCTCCCTCATGATCGTTGGCGACATATCTCCCGTACGTACGCCTGAGAGCGAGCATGGATTTTACTCTTATTTGTACTTCGTATTTAGCTACATTATAAGCTCGCTGTTGCTCGCGACTTCGTCTAAGTGAATTTTAAAAAATAATACAAAATCTTGCTTATGTTACGCATTGATAACGTGGCTTTTTAATGGCTTAAGAATTTTTGAAATCGACCCAGTAGTGTATTAATTACAATACATACAAAAATCCTAAAAAGTAAATCTTTCCTCTGTACAAAATTTGAATAGACTAGCTGTTGCTATCAACTTCGGCGGCGTGAAATTTAAAAATATAGCCTATGTTATTTAACGTTAACGTATCTTTTTAATGAGAAGATGTTTTTTTAAATGGGCTCAATATTTTTTGAGTTATTTCAATAAATACAAAAATACAAATCTTCCCTCCTAAGTATACTTAGGTATAGATATAGATGCATTTATTTTTAAAACAGAACTGGGTTCTTGACGAATTAATTTTTGTTTTACCGCCTTGTATTAACTAACATTCGTGTCCATGTTGCAGACGAAGATGTCGTACAAGGAGCGCGCTCGCGCGGCGCGCGCG